TGCTCAACTATGACAATGTAGTGGACACGGGCTCCGAGACCGATGAGGAGGACAAGCTTCAGATTGCTGAGGAGGACGGGCTGGCCAACCCCCTGGACCAGGAGCGGAGTCCAGCTGGCGTGGCCAACCATGAGTCCTCCCCGCACGTGAGCCAAGCTCTGCTGCCCAGAGAGGAAGAGGAAGATGAGATAAGGGAGGGCGGAGTGGAACATACCTGGCACAGCAGCGACATTCTGCAAGCCTCTGTAGATGGTCCAGGTAAGTGTCAGAACACACTCGGCCCCGGCCAGTGCCCTCTTATGCTAATCTCTCCTACCTCGTGGACCAGCCACAACCAGACAATTAAAATATTTTTTTCCCACGGCCCTGGCAGCGTAGAGATACCAAAGCTGGCGACAAATGATGAAGCGATAGCCGTGTGATCACGTTTCACCACTGACACCTTAGGAAGGGGTTAGGTTTCGGTGCTGTAGCATGTTGCATACAGGCACACACCTTAGGCACACACCTCACGGAGTACCTGCACCAGGTGTGTGGTGTGCGAGCCGCATAGCATGATCCAGATCTGTGCTTTCGGGATAGAACTTGGAAGCCACGTGAGCACCCACAACTGACATCATTTTGAAAGTTTCGTGTGGAAATGGTGCAGTGATATCAACAAAAGAGCTGCCAGGGTAATGTTGTCGCAGTGTCTGTCTGACACCTCCTGCTCTAAGCCAACCATCTAATCATCCTCCTTTGCGAAGTGTGAATGTGACTTCACACTTTTACCTGGTCAGGTAGCTTCTTTATTATTTAACAGCTAAGCACTTGATAATGATGCCCCGATATTTGGTGGGGAATATCTGGGGAAGGAAAGGTGGGCCGAGGCCAGCTGTGATTAAAAAAAAATAATAATAAGGTAAATGATGTTCAAACTAAAACTTGGTTTGCCACAGGGCAGATGGAAATGATTCGGTCTAGGCTCACTTAGGATGGAACATCACGAAGATGTGACAGGATTAGGAAAAGAGAAGTAGTCTTAGTCCCCAGCACTCCCTCTGCTCATCCTTACTTGGGAAGGTGACCTATAATTTTTTTTAAATGACTCCTAATTCACCATTGTGTCTCCTTAAATCTCGAGTCCCAGCACCCAGAGAAAGTCATTATGGTTTACCCCACCTTGTTTTTTCTTTGCAATAAAAATAACAGCAGGTTTTTATAGATAGGTGAAGTGAGGGAGAAGGGAAATAGGCACGAGTCTACCTATTGCATGCCAACTGTAAGAGAAAATTAAAATAAAAAGTCTACCTATGTGCTAGTGTGATGTCGCAGACTACACACATTGAACATAGGTGGAGGAATTGTTTGGTATTCTGGAAGGAGGAAAATAAAAGCACTTCCACTAACCAAAGAAAATTAAATGTGAAGGGAAAAAAAATAGAAGAGGAGACTGATGGCAGGGAGAGTGCGGTGTGTTTGTTTTCTCGTTGTCCTGATACACTGTGCCAAGTTTTGTACTCTTTCTGTTTCCAATTTTGCTTTCGGTGAAGGTTTCTCAAATCTCAGCAATCCCACACATAAACATTTATCGTTATATCCATTAAGTCTTAAGGTTTTAGATTTTCAACTATGAGGGAGAACTCAGCCAAAGATGCTTGAAAGATAAATACGTTTAATTAGGGGCAGAGGATGATCATTAAAGGAAGTCTGACTGCTGCAGAAGTCATTAACAATCTTAAATGAAATTTTTATTTTTATGATAGCCATTTACATGTATAATAAGAGCCAATGATTCTTGGGAGCAGTGTGACAGAAAAAGAGTGTGGCGAGAACTCATGTAAGACATACTATTTAAATGAGCTGGTGTTAGCTATTCATATTTGTTAATGAACTAGATATGCAGGGCTATAAGAATGAATGTTCTGATGCTTTAAATTTTAATATCTAGAAATCAAGGGTAAGGACCAATTACTCGAATTTCCAACCTTAAAGGAATAATTAATAACGATATAACAAATGTGCCTCTCCAAACTTAAAAAAAAAAAAGTTTAATTTAAAAAAATTAAGATTGGTAATTGAAACACAGCCAAAACACCCATGTCAAGCTGTAGGTAGTGTGTGACCAAGGCAGCTTTTTCTGTGCGGGTCATGGGTCACGATTCTAAATGTTTTAATATATCAAAATCCATATGAATGCCTGACGGACCCTGTTAGCACCTATAGTTAATGGTGCCTGAGATACAAATGAACAGGCTGTTCTTTGCTCTTACCTTGATGGTAAATAAACTAGCATTCTGGAGTCACGATAATTAAATAAAATGTAAATCCCTAATCTCATTGGGCTATTTGGACCCAGAAAGTTTACCCGGTTATTACCTGTCTAGTTCTAATGCTTAGTCGTGATTTATTGTCCTTTTTTTATTATTATTATTGTTCCAAAAGTGGTGCCTTGATGTCTAATGAAAAGAAATTGGTCTTAAAACGCCACTCATTGTTTATCCTGACTCTTAGATAACACATATTTCTCCTGATAAAATATTTTTCTTATTTATTGTTCAAAATGCACACTGCAGACAATCACTCTAATTCTGTTGCTGTTTTATTTAGTAGTGTTTTATCCCTGGTGCCTGGCTGTCTACCGTCCTACCTCAGCACATAGCTTCACTCTGAGATAAGCCCCTCTCCCTTGCTCCCGCTCCCTGGCTCTCTGTCCTTTGTCTGCAGGATGCAGGTTTTGAGCTGAAGAGTGCAGTGGAGTTCTAACTGTGCCTTTCCGGTTCCAGCACAATCAGAGTTTTGTGTTTAGAATTGTCCTTGACATTCTTTTGTCCCACAATGGGGTGGACACAGTGTGCTGGAAACCATGACATCATTATCACTGACACAGACTTAAATAAATCACCTGCATCTTGGCCTCTTTCTGCTTATTCAAGGATTCTTCATCATCAGGAAGAAAGTGCCCTTTATTTTCACAAACCTTCATCCCAAGGGTGACTGGAAAATGCAAACTTTTACTACAAGTGTTTTAAAAATAAATATACTATGTGGTTTCAGACACAGTGTGCTGAGTCAGAGGTGTCTTGGAAAATGTGTAAGGTTAGGCGTGAGGCGGAGAGACAGCCAGCATGGCTATTAATGCAGAGGGGATATTCCTAACCTCAGAATCACTATGTTTTCCTGAGCACGGGTCACGTGGAACTTCATAGGCAGATGCACAGGGTTTCAAATACATACCTGGAAAGGCACAGTGTGTCACTTTAATAAATTGAGCTTGGTATTTAAAAAGAGTAGGTTGGTGCTCAGTAAATGGAAGCAAAGTGCATTCTAGGTAAAAAGTGACACCATTGCAGTTGCACCATCTCTGATAAAAGTTACTACAGAGTCCAGTAGACATGAATTGCCAACTCCACATTTGCACTCCCAGCATATTAATAATTTGGGAAGCAACCACCTACTGTCACTTCTCTTTACTTTTTCATAAGAAAATGACAATGAGGAAGGAAGTGCAGCAGAAATCTTGAACATCACCACTATTATGCAAAAAAAAAAAAAAATGCTGTTAAACTGTTTTCCCCTCAGTGACTTGATCTCTCAGATGGAAAACTTATGATACTTCTGACTCGCAGCTACCAGAAATCACATGAGAAGAACGAGGAAGAAAGACACAAAAGCTATATTTATATCTAGTACTGAACTTCTGAGAAATGCATTCATTTCATTCCTTGCAGAGACTGATAAAACTACCAGACGAGGGAGCCTTTCAAACGATCAATTATTACAATTGATAATGCAATATTGCTATCTATTGAACTTCTACATGTTTTATGCAAAATGTCTCTGTGAAAATAGGCCTTCAAATAAGAGACAAACCCAGGGCCAAGAATGAATTCAACGTGCTTGTACAGTTTAAACAAATATCTTCAAATGTCCTGAATGTTATATGTTCAGTGGCATTAAATTAGCATCTATTTATTATACCTTTCAGGCCAATGGCTTTTCAGTTCTGAAACCAGAAACAGACAAGCCGCAGGGTACTAATTGTAAAACATATATTCCAATTTGGCCGTAACATTTGCTAGAACTTGTTCCTTTATCAAATGATTGCGACTAAAATGTGATGAGCAAAAGATGATTAGAATAAATTCGGGAACTCAGAGACCCGTTTACAGAGTTGCTCTTGTTTTAAGTACAATAATTATCACTGGGAAGTATTTATACTGGATCGTGTTTGGTTCTCATTAGTACTGTTGCTGTCAAGATACAATTTTTTTTAAAGTCCATATTTCACTTATGTATTTGGAGGATTTTGAACCTGCCGCTGTTCTTCACTGCCCTCTCGCATAAACTACAATTTGGTGGGCAGAAAAGTCAAGAAACCTCCTGTTTTTCACACTCTTCATGTTAAAAAAAAATATTGCAATTTTAGAAAATGGCCTTTTATCATGTATGCATCTTCAACTTCAATGTTACATATCTTCATCTTATCAGAACATTGAGCTCTTGTTCTATCTGTATGTTTTCCTCAAAAATGACTCTGATTATCTCCTGGGCATAAATAAGAGGGAGGTATTTGCAGAGGGGTAAGGAAAAGAAGAAGGAAGGCATGATTTCAAAAGTTAGATAAAACAGTAAAACAGGTGTTTTTAATGCTTGTCTTATAAACTGGGCATTTTGAGTTTCAATATGTAGAATTAGATTAAAATATATATATATATATATATATATATATATATATATATATATATATGTGTGTGTGTGTGTGTGTGTGTGTGTGTGTGTGTGTGTGTGTGTGTATATTAGTGCCATACAAAGAAGAGACAAGTATGAAAATAAAATAAGAAATCCTGACTTGCCTCTAACCATCCAGGGTTACTTGAGGCATAGCAGCTAGCATGGCTCTTTGTAAGTGCAAATACTAGTTGCTTTTGACTCTTATTGAAAAAATAATATCTTTCCCCCTGTTTGTCACTAGAACTGCCACCAGAAGAAAAGCCCTTCATTTGCCCCAAATAAGCACCTCTGTTTTTCACAGCTTGCAGTAATGCTTAAAGTAAATAAGTTCTTGTGCAGCTAGCACTATTGGATTCATTCAATTGCCTGAACAAAGCTATTGTTTAGAGGTTTACAACAAGCCTTTTCTGTGTTTCATTTCAAAGACTCTTCCTTGTTCCTGTGGTTGGCATGCTTAGTATAGTAAGCCTTTTTACAATTTTCAAATGCTAAAGATAATTTTCCCCCACAGAAGAAATGAAGGAAGACTACGACACTATGGGGCCGGAAGCCATGATCCAGACCACAATTAACAATGGTACAGGTAAGTGGAGTTGTCCTGTGTCATGTAGATTTAGTAAGTTGGGGAAAGAATCCCTGACCCTTCCATCTGTCATTCCATGATTTCACAAATCAAATTAGACATTACACATCTCCTGTTTTGTTGCAAATCAGAACTCTCTGTGTTTTGGTATTTTATTCAGCAAATATACCTTCCACCCTTCATTTTCCCGTGAATGTTGAAAAAGCTGATCTGGATGAATAAACCATTTCAAAACATGAAGTTAGCAAATTTCTGTAATTTTTACTTTAAAAGATTGAACAAATAATTTTAAAATCAGAATAAAATATGCCTCATCTGACCATCAATTGGCATTTGTCATTCAGGATTCAAATGATACAGTGTAATTTTGTTTGTAAAATGTGTTGTTTTTTTTCAGAAAGGTAAACCAAATTTCCATGAACGTTGATCACAAAAATTGGTCATCTGAGTTCCTTTTTATTCTTTCTTTATTTTTAATGCTCAGTGCCCTCTAACACTTCCAAGTAGTGTTTTCTAAGCAAAGGTTTTATAAAGAAAAACTGACAGTTTACTTGTTTTTAGTGGAGCTAAAAGATATATATATATATATATATATATATATATATATATATATATATAGAGAGAGAGAGAGAGAGAGAGAGAGAGAGAGAGAGAGAGTGCAGGTAGTAAGTGGTATTTTGTTTTCCTGGGCTACTGCTGCTGGATGGAGTCTCCAGACAGCTGTCAAAGTCCATGTTCTGTCCCCCAACAGCATCTTCTCTCACATTCTCCCAGCGCCAGTGCAAATTTACACAGACTCACTGTGTTTATCTCTTTTCCTGAATAAGGCGAGTTCTTGTTGGTGTTTCAAACAGCCCTTCACACTACCAGTACAAATATTAGCATAGTGCCCCGTATTAATGACCTCTTCCAAAACACCAAAAAATAAAATAAAATCACATAACTACTTCCACCCAACTCACTAATCGAAAAAAAAAAAAAGTTACAGTTTTGTGAAGTTTTAGAAATGTGAATGATTAAGGTTACATTCATATTTCTCTTATGTTGACGAACATCATAATAAACTGCTCAGTCTGTGCTTCTATTTAGAATGCTTTTATTAATAACTTACAAGGTACTAGTTCACTTCCTTGGGTGTAAAATAAGAAAAATAATGAAAATGTAGTTACAACAATAAAACTGCACAGTATGGGATTTGGGGAAAAGCATAGTATCCTAATTTTTAGGTGTAGCTCTGGCAATAACTAGCTTCTAACCTTGGGCAAGTCAATTACCCTCTTTGGAATTCACTCTTTACACCTGAAACATAGATTAAACTAGTTGCTTCTTAAAAGTGTTTCCAGTTTTAATAGTCTTTGTTGCAGGGGTATCCTCACCATGTCAGATAGAAACAGTACAAAATAACTTCACATAAAATCATCATAATAAATACCATATGTAAGATACTTTCTACCATGTCCCAACTCATGAGGTCGAATATGGATTCATGTTTCTTTTAAAAATAAATATTAAATTTCAACTTCAAGCATAAATAAACGCTAATTTTATTAACTTTATAGGCATTTGAAGTGTCACAAAAGTAAATTTATTCCACAAAGTGAGGGTTTAATAGCTGTTTGCAGGCTAGCTTTTTTTTAATATATTTTATTGATTTTTCACAGAGAGGAAGGGAGAGAGATAGAGAGCTAGAAATGTCGATGAGAGAGAAACATCGACCAGCTGCCTCTTGCACACCCCCTACTGGGGATGTGCCCACAACCAACGTACATGCCCTTGACCGGAATCAAACCTGGGACCTTTCAGTCTGCAGACCAATGCTCTACCGCTGAGCCAAACCCGTTTTGGCTGCACGCTAGCTTTAAGATGCCTTTTCTTATACTGCTTGCTACTCCTTATAGTTAATATGCAGTCAGTCAATAAATAAATCAATAAGTATTCATTGACTGTCTTCTCTATGTTCACTGTTGTGGGTATGTGTGGTAGAAGATGGGTCAGGCAATCCAAGACATGGTTATTATTTAATGTGGAAGATGAGACTGACACTCAAAAAATAATAATTAATAAGTGATAATATGTGATAAATATGCAACCAATGTCAAGAACCATAATTATTTCAAATTATAGAAGTGAGAGGAATCCCATCATGTTAGTATTTAGAAAAGGTTTTATGATGGTGCTGAAACTTGAGCTAAAGTACATTTTTCATAGGCACAGAGGAGTGAGGAAGAGCTTTCCAGCAAAGGAAGAGTATGTTAGCCAATGAAGGAAACTTCAATATTTATTCAGAAAATAGGAAAAGGATTTGGCCGGGTCCTAGGAGGCAATTCGTGGAAATGAAATGGACATTTTAAGTGGAAGCCAGCTGATGGAGAACACAAAGCAGCAAACACAAGTTTGGGTCATGTTACACTACCGTGACTTCTTTGGGGGGGGGAAACCATCTAGACGTCACTGTAGTCATTCAGGCATAAAGTGATAAAAAAAAAAAAAAAAAAGCTTGTCCTAGGTTGGTAATCATGGTGACCTTAGCAACATGACTTCTTACAGATGGACCCAGTGATCCTCTCAGTGATGGAGTCAAAATAGCTTCAAGATTACACTTCGTGTGTTTAGAATATGGCAATACCTGCTATTTCTAGATAAATAGGAAAAAAGATCCAATTTTGGGGAGAAGGCCTTGAGCTGGTTTTTAAACACAAATATTTTCATATAAAAGTTAGACAAATATGTAGGAGAAGATGAGAATGTCCACTTGAAATGAAGAATTGAAACTCAGGAAATCAGGGCTTCAATTTGAAAATATTTGAGAATCATGTAAATATATTCAGATAGTATTTAATATTTTGGGACTATGAGACTTACAATGGAGAGTGTGTAGAAAGCTGAGGTCAGGGTTCCTGGTGGGTAGAAAGAAAAGTCAAATTCATTGAAAGAAAAAAGATTTTAAGAGAGAAGAAATATGAAGTATTCAGAAGGCAAAGAAAGAAAGTTTCAAAAGGGAGAGAATGGTCAATTCAATCAAAAGGCTCAAATAACTACAATTGTGAAAGAATGCTGAGCAAATACAATAAACTTGGTAATTGGGAATTTACTGCTGATCCTCAGTTCATAACAGTCCTGTTAGAGAATAAATACATATCTCCTCCCCACTATAAATTACTATATTTTCAACTAGCATCTTTTTAGATACTAACTACATGGGAAATTGAAATAAGATATGTTTTCTGATTGAAATTACTTATTAATGAACCATATATTTTTCTTCACCCAAGTCCTTCTGATGAATCCCGCTGACCTTCTGTAGCCATCCCAACTTAACTGATATCTTCCTCAATGAACTCTTATAGAACATTTCAGCTAACCTTTCCTTAGAGGCTGTAGTGTGCTGTTAATTAATATATTGTCTTTTCCAAATTAGATTGCAAACACTAAAAGCCTGAATTGTTTCTTAGCTACCACATTGTCTATAAGTGTGCTTTAAAATTAATAGGCTCTCGATAAATGTTTTTATTAATGAATGAATACGGAGCTGTTTAATGTCAGATTCCATTTTTCTTTTCTAATCAAAACAGAACCAGTAGACACTGGAATAGATACATTTTTTAGAAATTGCCCTAATCATTTTGGCTCAGTGGTTGGAGTGTCAGCCCACTGACTGAAGGGTCCCAGGACACGTACCTTGGTTGCAGACTCGATCCTTGGTCCTTGTTGGGGCAGGTACAGGAGGCAACCAATCGATGTGTCTCTCCCAGATCAGATCGATGTTTCTCTCTCATATCGAAGTTTCTCTATCTGTGGAAGTTTCTCCCTTCCATTCTGTCTAAAAATCAGTAGGGGAAAAAATATCCTAGAGTGAGGATTAACAACAAAAAAAAAGTTAAGCAGTTTTTATGGTAAAAAAAAAAAATTGTTAATAACTGGAATAACTTTTAGAGGGATGACAAAGGCAATGTCTCTAACATTTCTCTCTGAATACTCATCACACAAAATTCAGTCCTAGCAAAATGTAAAGAAAAGACCTCTGAAGTTCTTCCTCAATTTTACAAATATACTAAATAGTAATGTTTAACTTTATATAAATAAAGTAGTCTTTTAGAATCTAAAAGCATCTCCTTCATAATCTGCTAAGTTTAAATCTATAAGAAGAAGTGGGAAGATTTAGTTAAATTGAATCACAGAATTCTAAAATTAAAAGTTACATGCCAGAACAATTCCTTAACTGTAATTTGATAGTTGAGGAAACTTGAAAAAACAAAAAAACACACACACAAAAAAAAAACAACTGTCACATAGCTAACTGATGGCAGATTTGGAAATAAATCTAAATCACCAGACATTTCCTTTTGCCATAAAAGGGTTCCCACCACTCTGAGGAGCTGATGCTGCTAGAAACTCTTTGCTATTTACCTACTTTGTCTAATTCATCATTAAATTCTATGAATTCTACTGTCACACTATCATACATCACTTTTATCATTTTAAATCCTCATCTTTCATTTGAGCTATTATAATATCTTGCTAACTGGGCCCCCTGTTTTCAATTCCTAGTTTCTTTAATACCTTATTCACCCTAGCAAAGTTAGTTAGAAGTTATTTTTGTGACACTTGGGACAGATGGATAATTGTAACTCATCCCCCATTCCATTTCAGACTCAACCTTGAATGGTTCTCCATTGTTTTCAGAATGAGTAGGCTTTTGAGCTGAGCTGGCCTCCTTATGATCTAACCCCATCTAACCTTTAATACCACTTCCCAGAATATGCCCCAGCTCAGAAAGGCTGTTTACCATTTATACTCCTTTGCCTTTGCTTGTGGTTTGCCTTCAACTTGGGAAGCCACTCATTCTTCCTTAGCCTGGGAACTTTCTTAGCCTGACAGCATCACACACCCTCTTAAAGGTCATTTGTACCATCTCCATCTTATAGTCTCCAACTCAGGATTAACCATTCATTCCTTTGAGAGTCTTCTTATAGGATCTATTTCATTCTCTCTCATATTAT